TGCAGAGGCCTGCAGAAGGCAGCTTTTGTGCTGGGAGTACCACACATTTTTTCCTTGGCACTGAGGAATATTTTTGTGGAGTTAAATGTTCTACCAGTTACATAATACTGAGTGCTTAAGAAACTTCTGTTTGCTTAATTTTAAGATTTCTGGTAAGTAGCCTCTTTTACTAAACTTTTAAACATGGTGCTCATTCTTGACATCACTTATCCATAAGTAAATTCCATATCAATTTCCTGCTCTGAAAAAGAAAAATAATTCCCATGCATTGCAAATTGCTTTGAAATCAAAACAAATCACCTGGATAAGATGAAATCCAACAATACAGAATTCTAAACAGCACATGGCTAATGAGTTACAAAAAGCAAGGAAAACTATGCCTTGACAAACATTTAGCTCCCAAATTGCTTGAGAAAACTAAGCATAATGCTTGAGGTTCCCCCCCTCAACTTAAGTGCCAAGACTTGCTCCTTCAGTTAGCAAAAATACCTTATGAAATAAATTGCCTTAAACTATCAAATAGCAGCTCTAACAATGCAGTTAACTCGTTTCCTTTCATGCTAGGTGTATTCATTTTCATCTACCCAGCCTAAATCACCTCTGAAGGAGCTTTTAATATTGACTCTTGCTCTACATTAAATATGCTTCTTGACACAGCATACTTGGTCAAACTGTGCTTCTGGGCAGTGCTGTGTGTTTAATAATGAAGTTTCTATTTGTATAATTTCTCACTTGCACCTTCCCTGAAAGGTTGGCTACCAGCACAAGAATACCATTCAACTATAAAAAATGAGAAGAATTTCCTTTTTTATAAAAGCAATCAAAAGCCATGTCACTAAGGTGCAATTGCGCCAAACACGCAAAGCATTGAGTAAGCCATCAAGAAGCACCTTCTAATAGCTCTACAAGTAGCCTGAAAACATCACTCGATCAAAACATTGGGCAGAGGTTTCTCAGCCTCCAGGCTCCAAAGGCCCAAGCATCACAGTGAGACACTGGATTTCAAAGCAGACAGCGACTGATCTGCTCTCTGGTCAACTGAGACGGTGAAAGTTTCACCGTGCACAAGCCTCAGGCATTGAAATCTATCCCAGCTAGGACCTACCATCACCAGATCACAGTTTGATCACCTTTGCTGTGGTGGTCCCCATTTAAGTACCAGCTGCCAAAATTAAAGGTGAAGAAGCCCTCCTGCCACATCACAAGTGAAGAACTCTCTCATAAGCATCCTGGCATAAAGGTGGCATCGGTGAACTGCTCACATAGTTCTGCAGTCTACAGCACAATCTGGTTCTCTACTGCTCAGGCACTGCCTGCAAAACCAGAAAAAGAAACACACACATTCCCATTGTTTCCAGAGCAATTCAGAACTGCCACATAGTGCAGTGGAGCCTCATCTAACGACCTGTCTCAACACACCACGTCCTTTGCAGCTGACCTAAGAAAGCAGCAACTGGCACTACCTATGACCTGGTCATGAAGCATTTCGTTCTCAGAAAAACAATCCACCAAAACACAACAACTGCATCAGCCATGAGCAAATCAACATCTGAAGACACACAATGTCCACCCACCTTTCACCCTTAAACAAACTCCAAATGAGCCAGGGACCAAAAATCAAGTTCACCTATTGCAATCAAATAACTGTAGCCCAACACAACCGACTCTGCCAGAAACTTTAGTCATAAACTGGGAATTTCTTGCTGACAGCAGAGGAGGGACAGACATTTACTCTTACCACTGGACGTTTCTGGAGGACTTAATATCACTGACCCTGAGCTACTTTTGCCCCGCCAGCAAGGAACATGAGGTAACTGGTGCACAAAATAGCTCAACTCCTTCCTTGGGGGTGATAATCTGGAGCACAAGCAAAGGGTCTCCCAAAACATTATTCCCAGTTACACTGAATAGCTACATAAAGTCCTCAGGTAAGGCAAAGATTGACAGGGGTGAGGACAGCTGTGCAGAAAAACCTGGACTCATGACAACCTCCACTGCAGAAGTGTACCTTTAGCTGACTGCATCGGGGAGGCTTGTGGTTCAGGACTGCTCCTGCCCCTGTTCTTCACACAGGGGCTGCTCCTGAAGGCTGCAGCCTTTTCTATCCAGCTGGGAGATCCTAAACAATGAAGTACTGCAGCAGATCTCAGCACGCTGTATTAGTTGATAAAATGTGCCAAGATGCTGTGCCTGAAGTTTTAAGAAGCCCCTGACTTTATTACACTCAGCACCAAGGTACTGATAACCTACCTACCCTTTAAACAAACGTTCAGGGCTAGGTGTTTACTGCTTCCATTTATCCGATGCTAGAGTTACAGGATTAGCAACTGAAACCAGAATCTGTTGAAAAGTTGAACCAGCTTTTAACAGCAGTAGGTCCTGTCAAGGAGGTGCAAAGGGAGCACCTTCCTCATTTCAGTTTATTCAGCTAGTTCAGCTGCCCAGAGAAAAAGGTCGTATTTCTCCAAGAATAAACAAGGTGCCAAAAGCTGATGTTACCAGCTCCAAGAGCATAAATCCAGCATTTGTGTTCCCAATCAACCATCATTGGCACTTTCTTTATTAAGGTCTAAACACAGGTTTTCCTCAAAGTACTTATAACTTGAACTTAACTAGAAGCCTTTGCACCTTCCCCTCCAGCTCCTATTCTCAAACCACACCTCAAGTGGAAGAAAATTCCCAAACTCTCATCACCACAAAGTTTAAAAAAAGTTACATCCTGCAATAGCGTATTTCTAATCCTGCTTACCTCATCTTAGGGAACTAAAAAGACAAAACAAGATGAAGCTAGGTATTTCATCAAGCCAAAAAATCTGAAAAATAAATCAGATGACGATCTTAACTAGTGCTCACCTCACACATACTATGAATATATCACAGAAGTCATCCCACCAAATAAAGTTCAGGGTATTAAATCTAATCTCTACTTGATTCAGTAAACCAAGTCTAACACATCTAAAGTTTGCCTGAAGGCCCATTACAAAGAAAAGCAAGAAAATCACTCCTCAGGACAACAGGGCTCCTCCCTAGGGACAGAATGAGGCTCTAACACCACTTTTTTCAGTGGCTGAGAATTTAGGATGCATAACCAAAAATCAAACACTACCAGTGCTATGCCCTGCTCCTCATGGAGGAAGGATGAGGCAGAGACAACATATGACAGACTCCAGCCATGCTGCTTGAAGGGAATCCCTCTGCTGTGGAAAGGTGAAGGCATCATGAGATGTTAGTGTCCCATTCTCAAAATAAGTATCACAGGATCAGTGAGAATAGTTTAAAAAGGTATAACAGTTCAAGGATATCAAATACCAAAAAAAAAAAACCCCAAGTGATATTATATTCCTGATACTGAGATAAGGCAACCAGCAATCTTGCCTAAATCTACACTTGTTGACACATATCCTCAGATTATTTCAGAGACTGCCCCAGCTTCTTTCCAGGAAAAAAAAGATACAGTCCAGACAGGCCCTCAACCAAACAAAAATATTTTGACCCATTGTGATTTCTTTGAAAAAAAATGGATGAGTAATCTAAGTGCAGGAAGAGGTCGCCAAGCCATTTGGATGTAGAAATGACCCAGTTACCAACCCAAGACTAGAGTGACTTCCTGAATAAGTAATAATGGAGGTGAGTCTAAGAATATACCTATCACACCTACATGAGTAAGCCAGCCAACTCATTACAAAAGGCAAGCCTTGTGCCAAAGACTTCCCTTCCTTCAAAACAATGAGGCCAAACTGAATGTGACTCTAATGTATTATTCCCCAAGCTACAGGTTATTTTGGTTTTTGTGGAACAAAGCTCTTAAACCTTGACCCAGAGAGGCCAAGAAGCACTTAAGATGCACGTTAGCCAAGCAAAGAGATCATCCAAAATTTTCTTTTACAGTTTGACAGAAACCAAAGGGCATGAAGTGGGAGACGCAGGAGCCACCACTAAAATGGTTAACTCCTGGGAGAAAAGAGCTGAGGGGGACAATATTTTGCCAGAGACCATGTGGACATCAAGTGCAAAGGGGCATGCCAAATGCAACGTATCTTCTGCAGGGGTTCTTAATTGGTCCTTTTAGTAAAAACTGTTCCTCCAGTTGTTTTGAGAATTTACATCTGCTCCCTTTAGTTCCTTGCCAGACCTCTTGCCCACTGCATTTACAAGGGGGGAAACAACAACCACGAAAGTTTTTTTTCTATTAACAGGAAGGTTGAGAGAGGAATTGAAAGCATTTATCCTACCTTCACCAATTAAGTGCTGCCATAGCCCTTCGAAGGCCACCCTCTAAAAGTTGGGAGAGGAAGACAGGGAGAACAAGGAGGGGACTGGAGGGGAGGGGGGTGGATGTAGAATAATAACGACAACCAGTCCTGGAGCCCCTGAAGTTTTGAGGGAAACATAGTCTTTACCCGGAATTAGCCATCCCACACAGGATGCTCCTGCACGGCGAGCGAGGCTACGGAGGGGAGCCCCTTATTTCCAAACGAACACACACATCTGCACGGGAGCCAGGTGGGAAGCTCGGGGGGCGGGAAGGAAGAACTCGCACCCCGCCAGGGGCTTAGGAGGGGAAAAATCACGGCGGGGGCTCCTCTCCCACGCCACATGCCGAGGGAGAGGGAAGGTCCCGCAGGCCCCGGCCCTGCCCCCGACCCACCGGGCAGCACAACCTCCCCCCGGCCCCCCCCCCGCCGCCACA